CAAGGCCCGGTTGGATGGGGCTTGGAGCAACCTGGGCTAGTGGAAGGTGTCCCTGCTCATGGCAGGGGGTGGAACAAGATGTCCTTTAAGGTCCCTCCCAACCCAAACTATTCCAGGATTCTAGGTATGGCTGTAAATAGAGAAATGTACAGGCAGGTTGTGGAGCCGTAGGTGTGGGGGATCCCTCCTCACCTGGGTGTAGACCAGGGGGATGCTGATCCAGTCGTAGCCATAGAGTCGCCCGCACTGGCTGCGCAAGGTGTTGATCTCCTGCAGTGGGGAAAAGGAATGGCCTGTCAGCGTCACTTTGCATCTCCTTCTTGGGGACACTGAGCCTCCCCAGTGTCACTAGCCTTCATTTCTCCAGCCCATTCCCTCCTGGTTGTACCCCCTCTGGAAGGGGCTCAGCCAGGACTTGTGCTCCCATGGTGCCCAGCCTCACCCCAGCAGACCACCAGAAAGGTCTCACACATGCCCTGGAGAAATCCCTTGCCTAGGTGTCTCCACCTGAGCCCAAGATCTCTTCCTAGCTCACTTCACAGCAGAGTTTCTCTCCTCACAAAATGAGCAGCCAACAGGTTAAGCAGAGAATGCCCCAGGCACATCCGCTTCTCTCTCCTGACTATAGCTAAATACCCCAGAGGAAAATCTCTCTCTCTCTCTGGGCAGATGAATCCTACTCCAGACAACAGAAACCACATGACTTTCTCTGCATGTGAATACCAAGAAGGATGAGCTGCTCCAGACCTTTTTTCTGTGCAGCTGGGCAGGGATCATTGCCAGGCCTTGCCTGTGGAGCATGGCCTGCTGCCCAGGACTATCAAAGAGTTTTCATTAGCAAAGTCTTCTACAAGACCTTAGTTGCTGGGGATTTTTTTGACCTCTCCTGTCTCTTCCAGACACATACTTCCTTGGGGCTTTCCACCTGTATCCTAGAGACCTCCACTGGCTGCCCTGGAGCATGTGAAGGCTGATGAAGGACCTGCTATGTGGGTGTCTCCCATTCCCACACCTAAATGTGAGTCCCATGGTTCCTCCCAGTTCCACACTTGAGAAAGATGTCACATTTCCCTTGAATATATGTGACACTGCTGCCAAGTCAGCAGGCCATGGAAAGCTCTGTCACAAGCTGGAGTGTGGCACTAGGGGCATTTCCCATCAAAGCTAATGGAACATCCCCAGGGATCCTCAGGATCTCAAGCACTTGCCTATTGCCTTTGTCACTCACATTGAGGATGCCTTGGAGCAGCACACTGTCCCGGATCCTCCCATCATTCCTTGCCTTCACAGCCAGATTGGAGAACCAAACACATGGGATCCAAAACTTATTGTGGGGGGAATTCAAGCTCTCAAACTTCTTGTGCTCTTCTCGTGTCATGAGGCCTGGGGGGAAGACAGTAAATGGGAGAGGGATGGCCAGAGAGGGCAGAAAGGAATTGATCTGGTCTGAAATGAAAACATCTCAGGTGGTCACCTTAGCTCACCTTAAAAATCAGAGGAAAGACTCACACATTCAGGACTTTGAGAGGAACACAGAAGAAGTACAAATCTCCATGCTAAACCATTGAGTCATAGAGGTGTGGGAGATGGGATTTATGGGATTTCACTTTGGATGTCTGCGGCACATCTGATCAGATCACAGTCAATAGGGAGATAAAGCATTGCTGAGGGTGCAACTGCTGGTGTCTGTAGACATTTGTTGGGAATGGGATAACTTGTATCCCAGAAGTGCCTGCTTCTCTCTCTGGGTTGCAAAGGGAACTCAGATGACGAGAGCAGGTGCAGACCTCTCCCTTTGGGCCGACTGGGAAGTGCTGTAGCTTGAGGAGCATCTTCTGAGAGGATTTAGGGAGCCCAGCAGTTAAGGTCAGAGGTCTTAGGCTCCACTTCCCACTTGCCCAGTGCAAACCTGTTGTCCTGAGTGCACAGCACCCACTGCACACCTCAGCTGAGCACACTGCAGCACTACCCCACCCCTAATCCAAAGCTCACATGGCCTTTCCCAAGGCTCTCTGCACGGTGCTGCTCCTCTTTGGTGCCAGGGCTGTGCAGAAGGTGCTGGGACTGACCTGCCCTCACGACGTGCTCCATGCTGGGGAAGCGCTTGTAGACGGCCGTGCTGACGGAGCGCAGGATCAGCACACTGCACAGGTTGCTGTAGCGCATCAGGGTGCGGCGCAGGAGCCTCCCATACTCATCCTCCCCATCCACGTTGCAGGACACCAAGTTCATGATCCTGTCAGGCCATGGGATGCTCTCGTATTGAGCCCACCAGCGGGACACCACCAGTGCCACGTAGAAACCTAGAGGAGGGGACCTGAGCAAATTAGGCATCCTACAGGAGAGGGAGAAGGAAGCTCTGCTCTTCTCTTATGCTCATACAGGGATGGGTGCA